TATCTATCAATTGTTGATTGTTTAGGCTAACCTTCAGGCAGGTGGAAAAAAATTCGCAAAAAGTACGATACCGCACCATCCGTACAAAACAAAGTAACATAATACCACGTATCCCAATATTTTATCTTGTCTCGTAGACTTTTTTGAAACAGAAGTCATAAATAGATGACTAGCAAACCAATAAACTGTCGGTTGTGATGAAAAAAATCGGGTGATAACTTGAATATGCATTGATGTAATTGCATAAAGTAGGAGAATTAGCCACAAATAGATAAAGGGCAATAAGTCTGATGAAAAGTAGGGAGACATATTTGGTTTATCCTTTTGTATTTTTGAACTTTCTGTTATAGAAATTGGTCTTTAATATTTATAATAAATTGTAAATAAGAATATTTAATATAGTATAGTGCATACCTGGGACTTCCAAAGACTGACTATTTTGTAAACCAAAGCTTATCATTCTTTTATAGTCATATTTAGCATATTTGTATATGCCAAACGATGAGAGTAATATCATAGGAAGTGCTAACAAGAAGTTTGGAATTTGTTTAACCTCATAATAAGTCAGAAATCCGCAATTCCTGATAGAAAGACCAAATTAGATTACATTATCTTCAAATATAAACTAATAAGATATATACTCACCAATACACTTCTTGAACATACAAATACAGAAGTGGAAATGGAGATTGTAAACACCATAGACGAATAGGGGTAGCATGAATGCAGAATTGATCAAATCCATAAATTTGGAATGCACCGAATCCCAAAAAAACGATAGAACATAAAATTATAGTTTTGATCAACCGCAAAGCAAGTTTCTATATACAATAGAAAGTCAGGTATTAATATATTTAATTATAATTGCAATATAAAGAATTAATGTAAAATGGCTACCATCAAACTGATCCTGTTGATTTCCCTGATTAGCAAATTGAAAGCAAAAAAACCAGAAAAAACAATTCCATTCGACCTTGTCAAAGAAGCCAATAACCACATAAATGCAGAGCTCCATAGTTTTCCGCTCACAAATAAATTCATACCTAAAAAGCTCAATAATGCAAACAGGCTTTCTGTATACATCGCAGACATAAACATGCACGACGGAGTGAGTATGTAAAAAACTGCAGTGACAAAGGCAAACCTTTCATCGTGAAATAACTTAACACTGAGCCTTTAAAAAGTCAGAAAGTTAGATTAAGCTTGCAAACAATAACAACATTTAAGATAATGAAATTAAGCAAACATACATATATAAATTAATTGATGCTAGTATAAAAGAAGCATTGGCAATTAATACGCCAGACAAGAGCAATATTTGTTTATATGTCAAGAAGAAACCCAAAGGCAGAAAAACTATATCATGGAATTAGGTAAATACAATAATCATCGAACAATTAAAAAATTTATCAGCTAAAGTTGATAAATGACTT